CATGAAAAATTCTAGTAACAAATAGTACTTGCGAAGGCATTGAGTTACTTAGCGTATATTGTTTAAATCAAGCACACGAGTTGTCTGTGGGCAATCGCCTTTTACCTTTAATAGTGAAAATGTCAACATTGGAAGTCAGCAAGCAAACGTATATATATGTACGAATTCAACTGTCTGTTCAAAGACGTCGTTAGAATGGTTTGACTTTTCAAAGATACGCTATCCGACGTATAAGCAAATTTACTAAAAGAAAAATTCTACTTTGTGTGGTGAATGCGTTTTCTGTTTTACTAACCTACATCACTACCACGCTTGACAGGTCCTCCTCTTTACTGAATCCAGAACTCCATTTTAAAACAAATGTTACAACCTGAACGCAGTGTCGCCTTACTCTTCGCCACTTAAAGTCCAACCCCCGTCAAGTACTGCAGCATGGAGTCATCTACCAACACGCCCTATGTCTGAATCAACAGCAGTTTTCTCTGATCTCTGAGAAAGTGTTGCCAAACATGGTGACCTTAATATCCCCGCCTACGTGTTGTATAAGTCATGTTTAAGGTACACAGGTAACTCCTTGTCGGGCGCCTTAATCTTCAGCTGGCCCACTGACACATAATGCCAGTGTTGTTTTTTTCTCTTTCTCAAAAACCGTTGCTTTGCAATACCAACGATGACAGTGTACTTTCAAAAGAGGCGTATGCGGCAGCATACACTGAAACTACTCAATGCCATGGTGGTTTATCACATGCGAAACCTCCCCAGTTTCGACCTACAATGAGCTGCAGTTTTGTTTCCTAAAAATACTATAAGGAAATGATTCAGGAAGTATTTTTTCACTGCCAGCTCGATCTCTCAATAACCTAGCCTGAAAACTGACAGTCAATAAATTAAATGCTCATTAGTGTTTAGCCTTATCTGAAGTCAAGATGACGAATCTTAATAGATGTTTATTTCTGACTGTTTACGAAAGGCTTATTTTGGGCAAATGGCAGTGTACTTTCGAAAGAGGCGTATGCGGCAGCATAAATTAAAACCACTAAGCGCCATGTTGTTTTATCACATGCAAACCATAATCTCGTATCATATATCTAGCGACCAAGAGGTAAACATCTCTAAAATCATATCCGCTACAGCCAACGATTGACGGCGAGGAAAAGTAAAATGTTTGCTTTTTGCCCGTATCGTTTTCCAGTTTTCGATTATCGTACCAAAGATAAGCAATCGCACTAAATGCGTGTGAGTTTGGTCCTCATTCCATCCAGATCGCTTCACGAAAACTTCTGCCTGACTATTCTATGTCACCTGGATATTGAAGGTAGCGAGTGCCACCATTAAAAGACGAAACTGTTACCTATAATAAGCAGAGGTAGACATCATACGTCATCAGCACTGTCCTTCGATTTTGTGGGGACGAGGTCCAGACAATTGTTTGGTTGGCCTTTGGGCACAACCAGTTGGAAACGTCACATGCTGCAAGAGAACCAGCTTATGCATCATGATTAGAAAGCATACGGCAACATTCACTTCAAAGCCATGTGTGAAAGCTGACATATAGTCAGTGAGGGACGCTGTAACGATTAAGTATTAGCCACGGGATCCCTTCTCCACGGTCGATAGAGTGTCAGCACATGGAGACTTGGTGACATGATACTTGAATGAAAGTCAAGAACTTCTCGGGAGAACAAGTCAGCTTATCTGATTTGTCTGAAACGTTTAGTTCAAATTTCACGTTTGTGAGTGCGCCTCCTCCTTACCGACCTACTTAGTCTCCTTTAAACGGCTGGTAGGCAGACATAGCTTCTAAATGGTCGTCTCCCTATAGAGGAAAATATCCGAGGAAAATATCATGGTTATCTTTGATGTCACGTGTCTTTTTACTTCTATTACACAGGACCTGGGCCGTCGAGACTATCCAACTACTCCTACGAGAGAAATACGATGAAACGGAGACTCGCCTCGGGCACGCCCAAATCCTTCAGCTCCTAAGAACTACTCCTACGAGAGAAATACGATGAAACGGAGAATCGCCTCGGGCACGTTCAAATCCTCCAGCTCATAAAGTTCTGCCTGAAAACGTTCTTTACCTTCAACGGAACAATCTACGAGCAGGTGTAGGGAAAACCTATGGGTTTGCCCATTTCCGGACTCATAGCAGAGGCGGTCCTCCAACGGCTGGAGTCGCTGGTTTTCCGACACCACAGACCGAAACCCTGGGCTCGGTATGTAGACACCTTCGTCGTAATTGAGCGAGATAAGGTGCTGACATTCAAGGAACGTCTAAACGCCGTATTCCCGGACATTCAATTTACGATGGAAGAAGAAGAAAACAACCAACTGGCCTTCCTGGATGTCCTCGTTTGCCGCCAAGACGATAATGGCCTAAAGACTAAAGTGTTCAGGAAAGCAACCAACACTATGCAAGTCCTGAACTACAACCGTAACCATCCAATCGGCCACAAACAGAGCTGCGTAAGAGCGCTATTCCGGCGCATCAAGACGCATTGCAGCGAATTGGAAGACAAAATTGCTGAATTACAATATGTTCAACGGGTACTGAC